AAGCAAAGAGCCAGCAGAGTGTTTACCACACTAAAGCAAAGAGCCAGCAGAGTGTTTACCACACTAATTCAGGCTGGTTCCACAAGTGCTCAGTCTCAAAAGCAGCCTCCCAAACCCCATTCAAACCCTGACATGTGAAGGACACAGCCAAGGCACTGCATTTAGCACAGGATGCTGGTTTTTTCCTGCAGGCACACTCACCATCTGACATGTCCTTCAGCACCAGGCTCTCCAGCTCACCCCACTCTGTGTTGAGCCTTTTCATCAACTTGAAGGCATTTACAGGATGTCCCAAAAACCCCTCTGGGTCTTTTGTGGCAGTGGCTGTCAGCTGATCCAATTTCTCTGCCCATCTATAATGAAAACACACATTCATTAAAGTCTTGCACAAGTCTGCTGATGCTCTGGAGAACTGATTTCAAGCTACTCAAGTGTCTTTCTTAATAAAAAACCCAACAGAAATTGCAAGCATTTACATTATCTATATATAGAGTCTCCTAGAAGGAACAAGAAGGGCTATTTGCTTTATTTTTTCCCTTTTTTTTTAAATCTTCTTCCTCAGCTGCAGCTCAAACCTTGTGCTGCTCTTGCTGTCTTTGTTGGGACCCTGCCTGAAGGAACTCCTTCCTACAAGCCCCAAAAGCACCGTGCCAGCACTTCCATTATGAGCTGGCCATGCAGGACTAATCAAAAACAAAGCTTTACCCCCATTTGCAATCTTTTATTTTTAAATGGCTGGTTTCCCCCCCCCCCTTAAGTTTATAAAAGGCAGTTCCACGCTTGTCTCAAGTAGTTTTATGTTCAGACACACACTCTTACATCTGTGATAAGCTCCTTACTTATCCCACCACAAAGCTGAAAGCTTAAGAAAGGACAAGGAGCCCAGATCCCATTCCTGGTGCTGCTTCTCCATCTCCACAATCCTCTCTAAGTGCCATAAGTCATTCCCAACCCCAAGGTGCTCCCAAACAAGCACAGCTTTCAAAATAATGCAGATTCTACAACACGAGGATGTAACAACGCCCTGCAATCAGGGTAAATTAATGTTAAACAGCCACACCCCACAGACAAAACCAAACTCCAACAGAAGGCAAACACAAAAATCTGCAGCCTGGAGGGAACTCTGTCCATCAGCGTGTCCCAGAACCTGCTTTGCCTGAATTAGGTTTGCAGGGTTTCTTTCAAGTGGTTTCTGTCTGATAAAAGGCCCCACACGAGGCCTGAGCCATCCTCCACATTCCAGGGAATTAGCAGCTGTCTGGGAGTTGAACACCAGCTCCCCACATCCTTCAGCCAAAGACAGAGCCCAACAAACAATGCTGGCATTTGTTCCAGGGTCTTTTATCTCTGTGACAGAGATAAAACTTCTCTGACCTGACAGCTCCTCTGAAATCATAAAGACAGAGCTGCAACACTGAGGACAATGAGCTGCATTTACACACTTCTGGATGTCCATTGGCACGTTCCCAGGCTAATTTGTAGCTGTAAAGAATATATTTCTAACATTCCAAACCTGTCAGCAATTCCAACTCTGTACTTTAAGTGATAAATATAATAAACCCACTCTGACAGAAGTTTCTTCCTGGTTGGTAGAACACCAGAAAGTAATAAACAATAAAATAAAATCCACCTATCTATCTAGAACTGTTTCAACATCCTCCAGGCAGATTTACACCCATTTTTGACAGCCAGGAAAACATCCTGTTCAGGGATGGGGTTTTTTTCCCAGCTGGGATAAAATCTGACCTGTTGGGCTCTGTTGCTCAGCCCTGTAGGTGTGAGGACCACAATAATGGCAATGGTCAGGCCCCTTGTTATTTTTAAAAGCACTAAAGGAGTTTTGTTTTGCTTTATTTTATTTTTAAATCTAAACAGAGTAAATCTGTAGAGACAATCTGTGCCCCTGCAGTGGGTAATTCAGTGGCCACCCCAACACTTTTTAGTGATTTACATCTGATGTATCTTGGGTTTTAGTTTCTACTTAGCAAACTGCCATTCCAAGAACTCCATCCCCTGGGAATTAGGTGCCAGCAGGAGTCCTGCAGTGCCAGTGCTGTACAGGAAGGGGGTTGCTCAGATTCCATCCTGTGGGAGCTGCACAGCCCCAACCAATGGCTCAGAGGGAACAGCTCGGGTCAAACACACCCCCAGCCCAACCTGCTGGTTTGAGCTCTGCCTCAGGAAACATTCCACAAACTCAGTCAGCCTCGGGGAGCACTTTTTGCACAGGGGTGGACTCAACTATTAACCATTAACACTATGAAACAAACTGCTCACTTTTTGATCTGCTCCAGCTTGCTTTCCTCTGCCTTGATGTAATCCTTCAGTGACACCACCAGATCTTTTTCTGTGTTAATTAAGTCTGTCATGTGACCTAGAAAACAAATGAGTTTGGTGAGTCAAGGAGAAACAAAAAAACTCTGGGAATTAAAGGCATTCTTCCTCTTTTCTACTTTCTTCCCTTCTACAGCTCTGCCTTCCCCAAAGTCCTTCTGCATTTGCTTAAATAACCCTGAAGGACTGTTTGAGTAAGGCTTTTTTTGAAGGAGAAAAATCTCCTGCTGGACCAAGCTCGTTGCCATGGAAATTAATGTAATACCACATATTTATTATTAGAACTAATTTAGGATTCATTTGGAAAAGGAAGTAGGTTGCCACAGAGTAATCTTTCATCCAAGCATACATAATGTAGAGCAAATAAAGGGAAAGCTACAGAAACACACAAAGCACCCGTGTCTGATACACAGCCTAACCCAGGGCTTTATTTTTAAGATTACTTCCATGACTTCAATGGGTCCCTGGCATTAATTAATAATTGCTTCATTTCCTGCAGAAGGCAGCTGAACTGGTGCAGTCCCCACCTTCAGCTGTGCCCCAGGCCATCAGAGCCCAGGGTGAGTACTCTGATATTCCACATCCCTATGGAGCTGTTCCACTTGCTGCCACACATGTGCAACGGCCCACACCAAAATTCTGTTCAAATTCCAATAACTGTAAGAATAAATAACGACCACAAAGCCTAGCCTGGGTCATTAGACTACCTGGGCTGACTTACAGAATGTCTCTCCTCAAAGGAAAGTCAATAATGTGGTAAGAACTAGGCAGTGGGTTCAGTCCTGTACTGATTAAAGCCCTGGAGGATTAACACAGAGCAGAATGAGCAGTGAGAGCTGTCAGCAAACTCTCTTGGCTGCACAGCATGTACAGCAAAGGATGTCTCACCAATGGAAGTGAAGAAGTCCGTGTGGGCACAGGAAAAAGGCAGCAGAAATCCAAGGGCTAGGGCACACCAAACCTTGTTGAAGGCCATTGCTCAGCAGCTGTCACCTCACCACAGACCTGTGACAGGAACAAAAAAAAACAGGTAAAACATCCCTGTTCACCAGAGAGTTGAATCCACCTTGAGAAGAGACAGTGGGGCTGCCACTAGTGCAGAATCCTGACAGGCTTGAGCAGCTCTCAGAGGAGTAATACCCTTCTGCTGACTTTCTTATACCTTTGTCTCCCATGGGAAGAGAAGAATAGCTCAGAGACTCTTCACTGCAGATGGAGCCGCTTTGCAAAAAGCACCAAAACCCAAGATCAAACACTGACAGAACCCGTAACACCGAGTTAAAACACACATTATCAAGTTCATCCACTCCATGAAAAAAGCCCAAAGTTTCCATTTTTCAGTCAGAAAGATGCCAGTGGAACAGGTCTCAATGAAAACCCTCCCCAAGCAGCTCAGAGGGGGAGTGACAGGCACACTCCTGCTCCTTGGCTGCCACCACGAGAACAGCTCCACACCTGACACAAAAGGCTGCTCTGTCCCTGGATCCTGGAAAAGCCCATGGCAGTGCTTTCTCCCAGGGCCAGCTGCCAAGCTCTCAGCCTTTCAGGCTCCTGATCCCTTCAGCAGCCCAGGATTGCCTGGCTCCTGCATACTTTAGAAGTAATTATGCTGTCATGGAATTCACAAGGTTTACTTTTTTTCCAAACAAAAGCTTGAACTCTCACGTACTGCATCTGCTCAGAAAAATGAACAGACTGCAGGGACTAGCAGAAGCTGGTTTACAACTCTTCCAACAGCCAGACAACTGATGGAGAAGGAAAAACAAGCAAAAAATAAAAAAAAGCAACAAGCCCAGCTACAAAGTGGTTTGGCCTATTTAGGGAAGAAAGAAACACGGTTTTGACTGAGCTGACAGAACTGAGAGCAAACAACATAAACCCAGGTGTGCCATTCACACAAGGAAGGTGTAAACAACATCAGCAAAGTCCAAAAGCTGCACCCAAAGCAAAACCATCCCACCCAAAAGTGGGATATTGACAGGGAACTGGCTCCATCCAGAGCATGGATCTCCTCTTGTACTGCACCTGAGGGTCTGGGAGCAGCTCCCTCCTTTCCTTTCCACCTCCAGCACTCCAAGAGGAGCAGCCCTGGGGTTTAGGTTTACTCTGTGAGCTGCTTCTTGGACAGGACGAGCACAGTTTCACTGGCACTGACAGGAACAAGGGGAAACTCCAGCCAGGAAAAGCAGCACGACCTCCAACTCCTGTAAAGCAGCTGAGACCTGCAGGACCACAACTGAAGGGCTGAAGCATTCCTGCACACCCACTGGCAGAAAGCAAGCTGTGAAGTGAATATCTGGAGAGGGAAGCCTGGAGTCCTGCTTTTCCCCCAGTCAAGCCAGGCCCCTGAGCATCCCCAAGGCTCTAAGGCAGCCCTGCTGCCCACAGCAGCATTCCTCACCTCCTCCTCCTCCTCCTCCTCCTCCTCCTGGCTCAGCCCCTCCACAGCTACAGCAGGCTGCTGCAAACACAGCTAATAAACTCACAGCTGCTGCAAACACAGCTAATAAAGCCACTGATAGGTACCTGCTAAAACCACCTAAACCACCTAAAACCACCCCTCCACTTGTACTTCCCCCTGCAGAAAGCCAAGTGCCTCCTCATTGAGCACTCGAGCCAACACATCTGTGAATCAGTGACAAAGCACAAACAGCTCCACTACACCAGAAATATTTGCCAACCTTATCAGTGCTGGGAATTCACTCAGCTATTTGTTTACTGCACTCAGTGAAAAACACAAGGAAAGCTTTAGAAAGTTTACTTTTTTTACTATTAATCAATAGGAAACTTTTCTGAAACGAAACAAAACAAGCAAACAAAACCAACAAAAAGGTGATGAAAACAATGTTTCCTCTGCTCTCAGTGACCTTGTTTTTCCACTTCTCCAGCTGCTGTTTAGCCTGCTGCAATACCAGGCTCCTCCAAACGCTGTTGCAACCCTCTTCCCACCTTGTATCTCCACAGGCACGCAGCAGAATGAGCCACTGTCAACAGGCTCAAAGTGCAACAAGGGGAATCCCAAGGTGGCAGAAACACAGAGTATCTCCCACCTCAGCACTAGGAGAGGCTCCCCGGAGAAACTGGATTTCCAGTTCCTGGAGGAATTTCCAAAGGAAACGGGACGAGCCCATGTGCAGCCTAACCAGACCCCCGGGCTCACCCAGCTTGGAACAGGTTGGGCTGGATGACATCCAGAGGTCACCTCCAGCTTGATTTTTTCCTTCCTTTCCCGCATTTCCTGTCGTTTGCAAGGGCTCGACTCCGGTAATAGCTTTCAGCCACCCAAGATTCCTTCCCTCCCAGACGGAATTCAGAGTTGGACAGGGAGGCTGAGGCAGGGCCAGCCAAACTCATGCTGCCCTAAGAGCAGTTGCTAAGTAGCAGAGCTTTCCAACTACTGCAGGATCAGCCCCAGGTTCCCAAATCAAAGAAAATAAAGCTTGGTTAAGATAAATGCTGGAAATCTCTTGGACGCAGCACAAGCTGCCAAATAAGTAGGTTTAATTTCTTCCTGTCGGTGACATGAAGTAAAACAAGATGAAAATCCTCTCTCCATTATTCCTGTCAGTCTCACTCTCCTCCTCAGCAAACACAAAGCTGGCAATTGAGAAGCTTGGAGAGGAGGGAATCACTACCCACAGAGGGAAGTGGGAGTCCAGCTGACAGCTTTGAACACAGGAGCTTCCCCACCTCACAGAAGTGCATTCACTAAACGTGGCAAAGCACAAAAAAACCTCCACTGGAACGGGAAAAAATAGTAAAGAGCAACCAAACATGTGGATCCAAGTAAAACAAAGCAGCAAGTAGAGGAATGGCACTGCCAAGGATTCCCCAGGCAGCAGGGACACACAACAAACACCTTTTCAACTCAGGAAACTTATAGAGGTGGGGTTTGGAGGACTTCTTTAAAGAGTTCAGCTCAGCCCTACAGGTAGAGACGTGCCAGCAGAAGGAAAAGTGAAGACAAACTGCAGTGACATGACCTCACTGTGACCAAGGTCACCAATCAGTGCCCCAGGAGTGGAGATGCTCGTTAGACAAGTCTCCTCATTGCCAACTCCGAGCTCCCAGGTGCTCACCAGGATCCAGAAAACGGGATAAAAAAATGGAAGCTGAGGGTGTACTTCAACATAGAGCCATACCAGAATAATTCTAACTTGATTCCAAACCAGCTTCTTTACTTAGGTAAGGAATTAGTGGCCTCCTCCAAATGAAGTCAAGGCCAGGAGACAAAACTGCATCATCGGGGTTCACAACTTTTGATTTAAATGCTGGTCCACTCTCACAATCCTGACTGTATCCCATGGCATATAAAAAATAACAGGGAAAAAAAGCCAGACAGTTAAACTGAGCTGAGTTTGTGGGACATGGAGAGGATGGCACTGGAAGTGATAGCTGCTCACTGCCCAAAACCTCTCCTGTCTCAAGGACAACCCAAGTTACAGTCTCATCACGTGATGTGCCTGGAAATACTACTGCAAAGGAAAGAAATTCCCAGAATAAGGACTAAGAACATTTAGCTGTCACCATTGCTTAATGGTCTCACACGACAGAAACACTAGGATCCAGTTCCCAAGTCCTCTAGCACGTCCAAAGCTGGTTTAAAATTAAGATTCAAGCAGTGAGAGAAGAAAGGTTTTCTGTAATTGCTGCTACCAAAAGAACAGGGCGTGTTTCAGGTTTCTTTTAATGACAGAGTTGTAACAGAATCTGATCTATATAAATAATATCTAATAAGAGATGAGAATCAATTTTAGCATCAAGTAGGTGCTGTGTTTTAATTATCCTTCGCTGCCAAGCTGAAGACAACATTTGTGAGTCTGAGTACACAGAGCACGTGTGTTTGTACCCAGGGAACTGCAGCAAGTTTTCCCTTGGTTTCTTCAGCCTAAGACTGAATGGACACAGCCCTCAGAGGCCACTTGTTTTAACTTCCCAAGCCAAGACAATGAACGTTGGGGACGGAACAGAGCACTCATCTTACTAGACACAACAAGCAGGAGCTATCCTTCTGTTTACTCTTCTGCTCAAGGACTGGCAGAGCATCTATAGAGATATAATGTTTTCACATATTAAGAGTGATTGCAAAGAAAGCAGGACAGTCCCAATGATCTGACAGCTGAAGTCAGGTTTTTTCAAGGAGTATACTCTTATGAAGAAAAGGGGTTTCCTTACCTCTATCAGCATGGAGGCAGAGTTTTCCTCCCATAAACCTCTATTCATCCTCACTCCTTCCAGAGTTAACTCACTACCTGTCATTTCCCTTTGTCAAACTGCACTGGGAATTTTCCAATCTATGTGCAAGCCCTGAAATCACAGCTTTAAACACTAGAATTTAAACCTATTCGTTGTGGAACAACATTTAAACCTCTACAGGTCAGAGAGCTGGCTCGGGGAAGAAAACAAAGAGAAAGTTAATCAGTCCTGGTTGTGTCAGCACATACCTAAGGAGCAGTGCAGAGTACTCCAGGTCAAATGAAATGCTTGGCAGTGTGGTTTAAGGCATTAAAACGGATCCAGCAATGGTCCAAGAGTAGAGCAGTAGGGCAGAGAACATCTCTGACCCAACGGGAGGCCTCTGCTTCCCAGACAGACCAGGAACTCATTACCTTGACTTTCCGCCCCTGGCAGAGCACTGTCGGCACACTCAGCCAACAGCCCCTGGCCTTGTGGGAAGCTGCATTTATTTATTCTTGTAACCAATGGCTTCTTTCATTCACTAAACCCTTGAGCGCTGAACCTTCACTTATCACAGGTAGGTGAACACTCTGCATCCTCCTCTTAGCAGAAAAACCAAAGCGAAACCGAATGCTGGTGTCTGCAATCCTGAAGGATCCTTACTTTTCAGGTAAACTGGAATAAGTACACGTGACATTTATATTTTCTTTATTCTATTCACCAGCAACGCTCAAAGACTCCATGCCGGGAGTTTCTCCTCCCGGTCAGGGTTAGATCCTATCAAAACACACACACCGAAGGGCAGGGGCTGCCGGCAAAGGTGGGCGCGAAATTCCGCACAAAGCGAGTGGCTGGGAAACAGCGGGGAGGGACCCGCGGAGCAGCCCCGTCCCGCGCGGGGCAATCCCCGCACGCAGCGCTCGGGCCGAGCACCCACCCCTCCATCCATCCCGGCAGCGTGCTCCCCGCTCCCGGGGCCGCACGGACCGGGGCGCCGCACGGACCGGGGGCCGCGGAGGGCGGCGGAGCAGAGCCGGGGGTGCTCGGCCCGAGGGCGCTCGGGGAGCGGGCGGGGGAGGACGCGGAGAAGGAGGAGGAGGAGGCGGCGGCTGTGTTTAGTCTGCCAGGCGCGGGGAAGCCGGCGCGGCGGCGCCCTCCCGCCCCCCTCCGGAGGCTGCCGGCTCCCGTTACGTAAGGGCCGGGAGCAGGGGGCCGGGAGCGCCGGGACCCCTCGCCGCGGGGGCGGGGGGCGGCGGCGGGGCTCTGCCACGTATCGCCCCCACCCACCCACGCCCGCCCGCGCAGCGGCCGGACCCGCGGCGCTGCCCTCAGCCGACCCACCCCACCCGCCCGCAGCGCGGCGGGGGCGGGCAGGCCTCACCTGAGCGCGGGGGGCGGCGGGGCGGGGGCGGCGCCGCTGCGGGAGCTCCGCGTCCTGCCCGGGGGCTTCTCACACTGAGCGCGCGGCCGCCCCGCCGCGCCTTTTATGGGCTCGCCGGGCACGCCCCCCTCAGGCCGCGCCCCCCGGGGCGGGGCCGCCCGCGCGCTACGTGAGCCCGGTCACAGCGGCGGCCGCCGCACCGCGCATGCGCCGCGCGGGGCTCCACGTGGGTCCCACCGGGCCGCCGCCATCGGACACGGGGACACCGGCAGGGACACCGG